GAACCCCCCCAAAAAAAAAAAAAAACCCCCAACACACACACACGCACACCATAATTTTGTTCCTCACAAACCCAGGCCCCAATGTTTTGGCACACCATCTTTTTCACTTTCTAGCTGCTTTTTCATGGTGCCAGCATAAAGGGTGATTTGGTTGGGGGTGGGGGTAGGGTTGCTGTCGATCTTTTTTGTAAAAGGTTGTCCAAGTTTGGAGCTTTGAAATTTGAATTGTGTGTGTTTGTGTTTGGGGGTGGTAAACGAGTCTGACGGGTTTGTTTTTCAAAACGAATCTAAAAGTGTATTTGAGCTCGATTTATTAACGAGTCGAACCTGAGTAACTCGATTATTTTATATACAAACAAGCTAAAATTTCTGAGTTCGAGCCAAGTTTATAGGACTTGTTTTCTAAACGAGTTAAAATAATTGTTTGAGTTTGGTTCGTTTTTTAGATGAATGAGTTCGAGTTAAACTCAAAATGGGCCGAATTTGTGCCAAGCTTGCGTAATTCGAATCATTTACCACCCCTATTTGTATTTTTGCTTCAATGAGGTTACAATATTCAAGATTAAGTTCTCATGACACTCCCCTTTGATAGAACTGACACATAATTTTAGCATAATCTCATATGATTATAGATAAATTTTGATTTTTTATTGTTACATGTTTTTATATTTGTTGACCGAAAACCAAGTTTTAAATGCATTTTTTGGTCTAGTTTGTGCATTGTCAATCTCCGTGTAGATGAAACTTAAACGAGTTGATTCAGTCAATCTTCGTGCAAATCATCTACCGTCGAATTTCAACTCGATTATTGTCCCTATCTTAGTTTTAATTCTCCTATGCGATTCAAACAATACACATGTATACTATTAGTTGTTACATAAGTTTTTATTGTTATAAATTGGTTATGTTCTAACTAGGTTGCTGTTGCTCTAATAATGAATGCAGAAGTCCACAACATAGAAAAGAGGGAACCCTCAAAACAGCCCTAAATTAATTACTCTTGTTAGTTCTAACCCGCATTTATTTAATGTGCCTTATATTGTTATTATGATAATATTGTTAGTCATACATAACTAATAATATATGAATATATTATTGTAATATGTTATTATGATAATATTCAATGTAAATAATTTTAAGAAGGATGTTGTTGGTCGTTGAATGCGTCTATTTGAGACCGTCGAATAAATTTATTAAAATCTACCCTATTTTATATTATAGATAATATTCTAATTATAGTGAAGCATAACTAATAATCTAAGAATAATGTATTATTGTAATTTAGTTAATTATTTAGGTTTGACCAAATCTACGATGGCCTTTATTACCCTTCTCGGAAGATTAGATAACTTCAATAAAGAGTCTTTTGGGTGAATTGCACTCTCAAAAATTAAATTTTTCACATTACATTCTTATTATATCAAAAAATTTTGTAATATGACTCTTCTATTAGCTTTCTATTAATTTTTTTGCGAGTACCAATGGGTTGAATTTTGACAAAATAAAAAAATAACAGAAGTTAATAAAAGGACTATATTATAATATTTTTAATACATTGATGGTGCAATATAAAAAATTTAATCTTTGAACGTATAAAATAAAAATCTTAAAATTTTTCAAGTTGCAAAGTGTGAAAAGTTCTAGTTCTTAATCGACTCAGTTTTATCTTATTAGCAATACACGATATGCGTTATACGTAAATATAATTAAATAATATTTTTTTATAAAAAATATTATTATATTTGTAATTAAATTATGTACTGAATACTTATTTCATGGAATCCAATTTGACAACTTTATGTATAAAATTAAATTATATTTATAATTAAATTATGTATTGAATAATTATTTCATAAAATCCAATTTGACAAATTTATGTATATTATAACATACATAGGTATATAAAATTGTATATAAGTGCATTAATAATAAATGAGTCCAAAAAAGTTTAGAAGTTAAATACTATTAATAAAAGAGTCAAAAAGAAATTGGAAGTCAAATAGGTAAAAAAAAGAAAAATTGGATGGAAGTAAATATGTGGATATAATTGACTTTATAATAATAATTAGGGAGAAAATAAAAAATTAATTTTTTTTCCTAGGTGCTAGCATTTGTAATTATAAGTATTCTTGCCAAAACACCATTTCATACATGCCCTCTCATTTCATTCAAGCTTTAGAAAGATGGAGAAGCTCTCTGTTTTTACTATCCTTCTACTTGTGCTTTTCATCACTAAAGGTAATCTTGTTTGACCCATTTGTTTGATTCAATGTTGCAAGAGATTTCTAATTCATTCCAAAAGAAATCAAAGAAGTACATGTGTACAATGTTCCAAGAAAAAAACTTTGGTAGACGGGTTTTACTCAATTTCGAAGGGATTGATTCCAATTTTCAAACTCACCCTAATTTTCAATTAAATAACTAAATGTATAACGTGTTATTTTATTTTATTTTTTTCCCGAAATGACTTAAAAATGAAGTGTGATTTTTGTTTAAAAAACCAAATGAGTGCAGGCAGTGAAGTGATGATGGTAGATGCATCTGTGAACTTGGTTGATGGTAAGGGTAAGCCTCATAAGTGTACACTAAGGATTGAGACAGCCATTCCATGTTATTACGATGATTTTTGTATATAACTCTGTGACAATGTGAGTAAACACAACCCAACTGCTAATGGGGTTTGTGTAAATCTTCGTACTTCTTGTTGTTGTGTTTGGAGTTGATTCCGAAACTTGAATATTATTCGAATTTAATAAAATGAGAAAAGAAAAAGATCTTTAGCCAAAAAATGCATTTCCGATGCTTGCTTTTCTTTTCATTTATAAAGAAGATCAACATGAACTATAATTTCTATTGCTAGTTTATGAAATCTTGTTCTTTTTATAATAGTTTTGAATTTGAACACACAAGGAAAAAAAATAAGAGCGTTACAATTGAGCCATCAATTACTTTTTACTTTTTCTCTTTTTCCATGGACATGTCGTTCGGATCAAACGTAAAACTTGAACATCATGTCACATGAACACTCGTAATAAAAATTTACTCAAAATATTGCCAAGGCCTTATTAAGTACACGAGTGTGATAACTTAATTTTGGTTGGTCAATTTATGTCATGCCCTTTTTTTTTTAAAGGCAAAATTCCTCCTCTAAATTTCGATCTGAATTCAGAAGATTCCAAATCCGAGAACTTACCACGTTCCATTCCCACCAATGTATCACAATGGCTTCCACCGAATATAAAAAATCTTAGAACTACCTAACTTGCTCGTGGACTATTTATATGTAGTTGGCCATAGGTGTTTGATTTAGAAACTAACTTTCAAAATTTTATTTGAGAAATAAAGTTGTAATATCAATTCATAATCCCCCAAAACTTTTGGAAACTTTCAAAACTAATATCAAATTAGTTTTTCATTTACGAATGATTAAACTTTACTCAGACTAAATTCAGTAACTGAACTTGTTGATCAAATTCTCTGTTATCGCTAAATTAACGAGTCTTGGTAGTAAATTAGACCAATTATCAATCCAATAAAAATAATCAAGTTAATCAATAAATTTAATCTGGACAACATTATATTCATGCAAAACAGTTTATAATAGACACCTCTCAAACCGAAAATATCCATAGGTTACCGGCCCTGGACTTCTATGTGGGTATCTCGTATGGGAGGCCCATATTACTAAAGCCCATCATATATTGTGAGAAATCGTATTATTAGCTCATTCCATTCACATTTTAATATATTTATCTCAATAAAATAAATTGGTTGAGGTATAAGACCCCAACACTTAAATGTTGATTTAGAGAATAATGGATTAGGCTTTGGTGAACCGACAAGATTGGTTTTCCACGGTTTTTCTTCTCGAGTAGAGTTTTCGCGTCAACAAATCACTTGTTGAAATAGAGTCCCCCCCCCAAAAACGCTAAAATCTTGGTTCGGTCCCTATCCTCAAACAAATGGCTTCTCTGCTCTGCCGCCTATGACGTCGTTATCTAATTGACCAAACAACACAAGAAATGAAGATATCAAACCTAGGAGGCTCCCTCCATATTGAAGTTTGAAAGCTTACCTTTGAATATTGGGTAGAAAAAACTTGTTAGCTTCTTGGGTGTGCCCTTTGAAAGAGACGTTGGAAGTTGAATACTCAAAGTGCCTGCATAAAAATGTGTATGTGTAGCATTCTTTTATATCTCTCTCTCTCTCTCTCAAACAATAGAAAAACAATATACAATGAAGAAAACTCTACGAGTGATCTTACTTTTCATATTGGTCATTCTTTTTGGCACAACTGACAAAGTGGCAGGTTGGTTTAGTAATGAAACGGACCTACAAGCTTTGCTTACTTTCAAGGGTCTCATTATTGATGATCCACTCGGTGCGTTGAGTTCATGGAACAATTCTCTTCGTCACTGTGATTGGCATGCTGTAAAATGCGGTTTAAAGCATCAAAGAGTCACAACTTTGAACTTAAGGGCTCAAAAACTAACTGGCTCTTTTTCACCTTCCATTGGCAACTTAACCTTCCTCAGATCCATCTACCTCACAGACAACTACTTCCAAGGTAAAATACCCCCAGAGATCAGCCTCTTGTTCCGGCTTAAGTATCTAAATCTCTCCAACAATGCATTTCAAGGGGAAATTTCAGCCAATCTATCGCGCTGCCCAAAACCTTAGACTCATCAACTTTAATTTCAACGNCCGGCTTAAGTATCTAAATCTCTCCAACAATGCATTTCAAGGGGAAATTCCAGCCAATCTATCGCGCTGCCCAAAACCTTAGACTCATCAACTGTAATTTCAATGACCTTATCGGAGAAATCCCAGCGATGTTCGGGTCTCTTTCCAAGCTTGCTGAACTGTCCCTCTTCTCCAACATTCTCACTGGAGTCATTCCACCATCTTTGGGTAACCTTAAGCTTTTGAAAAAACGTTCTCTGGGAAGCAATAGTCTATCTGGAATAATTCCAGATTCCCTTGGCAGCCTTATCAACTTAATTTTTTTTGGCGTTGGTGAAAATAAATTGTTTGGTACTGTTCCTCCATCCCTGTTCAATCTTTCTTCTCTCACGGATATGTTTATTCCCTCTAACCAGTTCACAGGTTCTCTGCCCGCAAACATCGGCCTTACGTTACCTAACCTACGTAGTTTAGCGGTGGCAATAAATGGATTCACTGGACCTTTTCCAACTTCTTTATCTAATGCATCTCGAATGGAAATGCTTGATGTGTCCATCAACAACATTTTTGGGCCAATCCCAACAGATCTAGGTAGAAGAATGATGAATCTTTCGTGGTTTAATTTCGGTTACAATAATTTAGGCATTGGGGGTGCTGGTGACTTGAGTTTTCTTGATTCTTTCACTAATTGCACCAAGCTACAAATCCTTGGAATATATGCAAATGATTTTGGTGGTGTTCTACCTGATGCCATGGCAAATCTATCAACTCAGCTCAANACATTTTTGGGCCAATCCCAACAGATCTAGGTAGAAGAATGATGAATCTTTCGTGGCTTAATTTCGGTTACAATAATTTAGGCATTGGGGGTGCTGGTGACTTGAGTTTTATTGATTCTTTCACTAATTGCACCAAGCTACAAATCCTGGGAATAAATGCAAATGATTTTGGTGGTGTTCTACCTGATGCCATGGCAAATCTATCAACTCAGCTCGACAAGCTACTGCTTGGACGTAATCGATTAGTTGGAAGCATCCCCGCCAGCACTTCCAGGTTTGTTAACTTAGGTGCCCTTGGTTTGGAATACAATTATTTTTCAGGCACCATTCCCTTCGATATTGGAAACCTCAAAAACTTGCAAGCACTACTTCTAGCTGGAAATGAACTGTTTGGAGCCATTCCATCATCGATTGGAAATCTGACTCGATTATTTCTACTGAAACTAGAAGAGAACAACTTGACAGGAAGCATTCCTTCGAGTATTGAAAGCATCACCGGCTTGCAAATAGCGAATCTTTCTTATAATAGCTTTGTCGGTTCTATACCCAAAGCAATTGGTCTCTTGTCCACTTTACGTTCCCTTGACTTAGCTCATAACTCATTTACGGGCTCACTACCAGAAGAAATTGGTAAATTGCAAAATTTACAGGAACTATATCTTTCAGAGAACAAATTTTTTGGTGGGATTCCTAGCACCCTTAGTGAGTGTCTGAAATTGGAGCGTCGTTATCTGGAGGGTAACACATTCCAGGGAATAATTCCTCTCTCTTTTGGTTCCTTAAAAGGAATTGTAGACATGGATCTTTCTCTCAATAACTTGTCTGGCCAAATTCCTATTGAACTGGAGACACTAATTTATTTGAAGAATCTTAATTTGTCATTCAATAACCTAGAAGGAGAGGTACCATTAGAAGGTGTGTTTAGCAACACAAGCATAGTGTCACTTCAAGGAAATTTGGAGGTTTGTGGGGGGATTTCAGAGCTGCAATTGCCCACTTGCCCAATTAAGAAGATCCCCAAGGAGAGAAATAAACTAGCTTTCAGATTTGAAATCATAGTCCCTGTTGTGGCATCTGTAATATTGGTTGCTCTTTTGGTTTTTCTATATAGGAAAGGAAAACCCAAAGAAACCGTTAATTCTCAGTCATTATTTAAAGAAGAGTTTTTGAGGGTTTCTTATGATGATCTCCTTAAAGCTACTGACGGATTTTCTTTGACTAACTTGATTGGTGCTGGAAGCTTTGGCACTGTGTATAAAGGAATTCTCCATCACGATGACAAACCCGTGGCAGTGAAGGTGCTCAATCTTGAACAGTTAGGAGCATCCCAGAGCTTCATTGTTGAGTGTGAAGCCTTAAGGAACACTAGGCACCGAAATCTTCTCAAGCTAGTAACTGTATGTTCGAGTATAAACCACGAAGGTAATGACTTTACAGCTCTAGTCTTTGAGTTCATGCCTAATGGTAGTCTGGAGGATTGGTTGCATCCACTTGGAGACTCATTGTCACAATCAAGGAATTTGAGCCTCGCACAAAGGTTAAGCATAGCAATTGATGTTGCCTCTGCATTGTATTATCTTCATAATAGTTCCGAAAGACCAATTATTCACAGTGATCTAAAGCCGAGTAATGTTCTTCTTGATGAGACATGACTGCCCATGTGGGAGATTTTGGTTTTTTCAAGTTCCTTGTAATAAGTGACAATCAAATTATTAGAGGGCAGACTGACTCAACTGCAATAAAGGGTTCTATTGGGTATATAGCTCCACGTAAGAAATCACTCGTTTTCCATCTCGTTTATTCCTCTTTTTAGTTTTTCCAATTTTTTAAGGTTCATACTCTTCCTTCATGAATTCTCTAAGAGAGCACTGTCTGAGCAGGTGATGGAGATCTTGGATCCGCGTTTGTTGTTAGAAGAATCTAATGTAGCTATAAACAATAATGAGAGTCAAGAAGTCAGAGAAGCTAAACTGAGGGAATGTTTGACTTCCCTAGTAAGGATTGGGGTTGCATGCTCTGCAGAGTCACCTGGTAAACGAATGTACATCAAAGATATACTTAAAGAATTGAATATTGGCAAGGAACTATTGCTTGGTGATGAGATTCATGTAAGGAGACATATTAGAATGCATCTAATTGGTGAAGGAACATCTCGGCCTGGTGACTAGGTAGTAGCAGTAAGAAATAAAAAGGTAGTCTAGTGTGCAAGACTCTCGTTACTAACGGAATCAAGTTATGGCACAAGGGGCTATTATGTTTTGAATATTGTGCTAGCCTTCTCTTAAATTTTCAATGTTATGTTTTTGAGTTCCCCGGTTTACGTGGCCCTCTCAAGTATTTAAAATTATATTTTATATTTTAAAATTGTGATCTTGATTTTCTTTTATCAATCGATTATTGATATGAAAATATTGTTCAATTAATCATCCACAATATTCTCGGGGATTATTTTTCCCAAATCTAACAATTTTTTCGTCGCCAAATCTAATGATTCATTAAAAATATTATGAATTTCAATGTTCATAGTGCAATTAGTTTAAATCTATAGTTGATTGAAAAAGTAAAATCAAGTTCATAGGTTAAGGTGGTAAAATGCAATTTACCCAAACCCTACATGTACATAATCCGAAATCCGAAAAAGAAGACCACATACTTGATAAGTTTTGGCATTTGAATTTTAGCTGATTTGCAAGAGAGCCCAAACCAAAAATTTACAAAAAGTGATGCTCTGCTACTAGACAAAATCAATGGTGGAAACTCATGTTGTGGTAATTGGCCTACTTTTAGGTAACGGCTAAGGACAAGAAGAGGAGAAATATTATGCTTACCAAATATTTTGTTCTTATCAAATTTTTATACCAAATGATTTGGTCATTAAATACATATGTCTCATTAATATTCAACGGTGGATCCACAAATGGGGAGGGGACGACGGCCAAGGGTTATGATACCTTCATTGTTGTCTAGGAAAGACCGTTTTGATGATGATGAGAAGGTTAAGATTGAGATTGAGATTGTCAAGTCTTTGCTTTTGAACAGTTGGGAAGCGTGTAAAAACATAAATTTAAGGAACAAGAAGGTGGCTGAGAAACATAACAAAATCAAAATTATTGATTTGCTCACTGCAAGGTATGGAAATGCAAATGACAGTTAAGTAATAAAAAATAAAATCTACATCAGGAATGGCAATGGGTCAGGGCAGGGGTAGGGGAAGTAGTCTCCATCCCCATTAACGGAGCTAGTTTTAATCCCTATTACCGCCCATCGCCCCAGCCTAGGCTCCACCCATAATAATTAATTTTTGTAATTTTAAGGAAAAAATTGAAAAATATCACAACAATAAAAGTACAAGTTGTATGTTTGTACCACATGATATGGTCAAAATAAAAGACAAAGAAGTAAGTTAACAAAAGTTCATAACTCAAAATTTAAAAACCTTCAATATTACCATCCAAGAGAGTCAATCATGGGCAGAAACTGAACATACAACATCATGACATGATTAATTCAAAAACAACAACAATAATACTAATAAGATTAAAAACTTGTCTACATCATAATCCAACATAATTCATAATAATAACATTCTAAATAATATCATAACACGAACAATAAAGATCCAATCCTAATAAGTTTCATGCCAAGTAGAAATTGTTATTCCATCTAGCTACATACCTGTAATTTAATCAAAAAAGTAATACATAAAAGACTATAACAATTGCATAAGAAATATTTTGTATTTGCTAAAAAATTAAAAGAAAGAAAGCTATTAGTTAGATTCTTCCAAAGGAAAATTTTCAACTAAAAAAACTATACCTAAAAAGCTATATATATATATATATATACACGGGTTTATATAGGGTATCTCCGTATAATTCCATTGTTCAATACGTATAGTCCATTCTCAATCCAAACGAGGCCGGTTTGGACGACTTCTCATTTTTTCCCGGTCCACTGTCATCCCTAACTGCCAAACAATTTTTCATTTTTTTCTACATTTATAAGAGTGGGGGATTTAAACATCAATTATTTATTGTGCTAAAATTTTAGAAACAATCTTAAACAATCCTATTTTATAGTAATTTCACCATATTGATTATACATACACTCACCGTATTTTGTATGAATTTTTAATATGATATTGAAGAGTTAATCATCCGTACTGAATTTATATACTCAATTATCATTTGTCCAAACACATATAGCAAAATATATTGCTTAGATTTTGGTGTGGCTTGTGATAATCTTTCTTATAAAAAAAATTGTGATAATCTTTCTCACAGATTTACTAGCAATACCTCGTAACTAAAGTCACTGTACACTAAACTGTGATTTGTCTATGCATTGAAATGTGTGTTGGAGTGTGTATATATATGTGCAACTGTGTGTTGGGTTTTTGAAATTTGAGGGAGGGAAATGTGTGCTAGGTGTGAGTGAAATTTGAAGGGAAAAATATACCCTCCATAAGTTCAAATATTTATCTGATTTATTATATAAATGTAATCTTAAACAAAATCTAGAGTAAAAACTTCAATGAACTGTCCTTAATTGCATCACTTTTACCTTATAAATTCTAGCCAAAACATTAATACATGCATGCTCTGTTCTCTGACTTCATCCAAGGTTAGAAATATGATGAAGTTCTCTGTTTTCATTATCATTCTGCTGGTGATTTTCATCACTGCAGCTAACCTCGTTTGATCAATTTGTTTGATTAATTCATTGATTCAATGTTGTACAAGTTTTTCAAGAGAAATCGTATTGTTAGTTCATTCCACAAGAAATAAAAAGAATATGTGCATAAGTTCGGGGAAGGGGTAAATGATAATTGCCAAGTCGACTTTACCAAGAATATAAAGAGGTTGATTCCAAGAATCGAACTCACCAATTTTTAATTAAATAGTTAAATGTAGGGCTAACTTGACTTGTTGGTTCAACAGAAAGTCGACAAAAGGTACCAATTTTGAATTTAGCCTAAGTAGATTTGGATGATAAATGGATAAATCCGTCAAACTCGTTAAATACTCCATACAAACTTGGCTAAGCTTGAACCAACTTAGCTTACACATGAGTTCTACATGAAATTAATATGATGCTACTAAAATTTGACTACACATAATTGTAAATAAGTTGGGTGTTAATTGAACAAATATTGATACGAGACACCTCACACAATTTAAAAACACGACACGGATGACCTATTGACATCCTAGCCAAATGCATATAAAATTACTTTTTCGAAATAACTTAAAAATGAGATGTGATTTTTGTTTTATGTTTGATGGGTGCAGGCAATGAACTGATGATGATAGATGCATCTGGGGAACAGATTGATGCAAAGGGCAAATGTAAGAAAACGTATGAGACTGATGTTCAATGTCTGGATGATCCCTACTGTGTTTCAACCTGTGAAAAACAGTATAAACAACAACATCCAAATGTTAAACGATTCTGTGCAAGCTATGGTATTTGTCTCTGTCAGTGGCCTTGTTAGTTCCTCTCCATGGTAGCAGAGGAATTTAGTAAAAAAGAATTAGAAAAAACCCTAGCCTACAATCCCATAACTAAAATTGTGATCTTTTTCAATAAATTTGACGCAATGCTATTAAAATTTATCTTATAAATGCATTGATTCTACATGGTGTTCTATATTCCGTGACACAATGATTTTTAATATTTGTCAACTCTTTCAGATTTGGGTACTAGTTCAACCAAATTGAATGTTCTAACTAATAATTTATATTCCTTTGTCCATGGAAATGTTCTTCTGCAAACGTTTTGAATATGAACATATAATGTGAGGAGAAAAATAATAGAAACGTGATGGAGCCATTGATTATCTATACTCTTTTCTTTTTTCTTGTTTCGCTCTTCCAATGAGCATGTCTTTTGTTGAAATTATACATCAAGAAAATATTCAGTATAACGTTAATATCATATTATCATCAACACGTAGTATATTCACCCAATAATAAAGCACCAACAGGACAAAATGAACCCACATATTCCTTTAACTATCACCTCCCACGCCCCATATAATCTAAAAATTACTACATTTTCTTGTGTAAGATTCACCAACTCATATTTTAAATCGATTGTGATCAATCATACTCACACCTATCTCTCCTGAGGGGTCGGGCAATGGGGATAAAACTCAACAAAATCATCATCCCAAAATGAACACGTCGCCCAATGAAGTCATTGGGGAGCCAATCATGGACAATGATTGGGGAACCAACATTAGCTCTCTCCCTTAAATATAGTTCAAGTAGTAATAGGGATGAGGTGTAAACTCAAACGTCTTAAGTTGAATCTTAGCAACTCTTTGACATGGATGACGTATTTTTAATTAGACTGAAAAGAAAATTAGTCGAGGTCCATAAAACTTGACCCAAACATTGCTGATCGTTGAACAAAAAAAAACCTTATTAGAGCATCTCTTATTCCTAAAGATTGGGAATAACATGCCATTATAACATTCGTAGACAATAAATACAAGGCATGCCACAATTCACCCACTACAAAACCAACTCACTTTCATGTTTCTCCCTTCTCGCTATGTATCGATTGGCTTAAGCAATTGGAGGAGTTGCATAATAACATTATTGACACATTTCTAGTTTATATTTAAACATCATTAACACCCCTACCATTAAATTATCATTTCTAACAAAAAATAATCATCTAAAATATCAAAAATGCTCCTACATAAATTCCAAATAATTTTTTTATATAAAATTTGGGGTTAATTGTAAATTGCACGTCGAAAAATAGTTCGAATCTCAATTTGTACTTCTAAAAATCAAAAATCTCAATTTGCACTCTAAAAAATAGAAATTTATATCAATATGCAAATTGATAAAAAAATCTCAATTTGTACCCTCAAAGAAAGAAATTTGTATCAATGTGCACCCTCAAAAATTAAAAATCTCAATTTACACCCTCAAAGATAAAAATTTGTATCAATGTGCACCCAAAACTAATCGTCGTTAATTTGTTACCTAAAACTAAATTGATAAATTATACCTAGATCCTTTATGCTTGTCACTTAATCAGTTGGACCCCTTCACATTTAAAAAATTACTCCTACATCTCATGACGTTTGTGCACGTAACTATTTTTCGTTGATATCTATTAATATAACCTTAAAAAAATATTATTTTTATCTAAATAAAAAATTATAATTTCATATTACCCTTTATTTTGTGGATCCGATATACTCTAAAGTTCAAAATCAAGCTTACTATTTGAATGTCCAATAGAATGTAGGTATTTATATAATATTTTTATATTCAATGCAATATATCACTTAAACAAAATTATTTAAATACCCAATTGGGGGGACATTTTTAGTTATATTTGGATTCTCAATGGATGTAGGTGTTATATTTCAAATCTGAGGAGATATAGGTGATTAAGTAACAAGCATGAAGGAGTTTAGATGTAATTTATCCCTTTATTAGGATAAAATCATATTTTTTAACGGTTATAGTAACATATATCAACGAAAATGAGTTACATATTACACATGCACAAACGTCATGAGATGTATAAGTAATATTTTAAATGTGAAAGGGTCCAAATGATTAAGTGACAAGCATTAAAGAATCTACGTCAAATTTATCAATTTAGTTATAGGTAGCAAACTGACGACGGTTAATTTTAGGTACACATTGATACAAATTTCTATTTTTGAGGGTGCAAATTGAAACTCGTGATCTTTGGGGGTATACATTGATACAATTTTTTATCTTTGAGGGTGTAAATTGAGATTTTTGATCTTTAGAGGTGCACATTGATATAAATTTTTATCTTTGAGGGTGTAAACTGATATTCAAACGATCTGTAAATGTAGTTTGTAATTAACACTAAAATTTGAACCGATTAAAATTTATTTTTTTATGTATTAAAATTCGAGCCTAATTAAAATTCGAATCGATTTGAGCTCTACTCTACCTAAGCTATTAATGTCGATTAAAATTCGTTTCAAATCAATTAAAATTTATATTTTTTTATTTATTAAAATTTATGCCAATTAAAATTTGATTTAAGTTGATTAAAATTTATTTTTTACGTATTAAAATTTGAGTTAATTAAAATTTATATTTTTTTTATGTATTAAAATTCAGGCCGATTAAAATTCAATGCAAGTTGATTAAAATTTTAAAATTCAATAGGAGTTAATTAAAATTTGATTTGAGCCAATTAAAAATAATTAATTTTAATCAACTCGAATTTTAATACGTAAAAATAAATTTTAATTAGTTCTTATTGAATTTTAATCGGCCCGAATTTTAATATGTAACAAATTTAGAAAATAAAAGGGTCTTATTAAAGATATACCTATGTAGAGGGGTTGTGGATAAAATTTTTTCTCAAATATATTATAGACAATTTAGTAAAATTGTATTCTAATCAACATCTTTAATCTGACATGGATGTCAAATTAAAATTTACAAAATATAGAGGCGTCTTTTAAAATATGATAAATTAGAAAGGTTGTCACTAAAATATTTTCAAATATTTTTGTTTTTGAACTAATCAATACTTTCATGTACTGCATCGGCTGCAAGTATGCATCAACGAACGAGCTTAAGCTCGTCTTCACTGGTTTCGAATCGTCAATTGCTCAGATCTGAAGTCTTCCATGGAAATGGCGTCAATCTCTTCGAGCCCCCGCACTGTCGAAGAGATCTTCAAAGACTTCAGCGCTCGTTGCTCTGGAGCCCTTCGTACTCTCTGACCTACGCTACTTCACTATCATAAACCCTAATTTCAATATATGGATCTGTATTTATTTTGTCTCTCTAGTCTCTGCTTTGACGATTTTGCTTCTCTTTCTCTGTCTCTCTCAGATATCGATGATTTTTACACACTATGCAATCCAGGTCAAGCCCGATTCTCTGTGTGTGTGTGTGTGTGTGTTTGTGTGTGGATATATTGATTGAATTTATATATTTTGATTGTATAGAGAAGGATAATTTGTGTTCGTATGGGCATCCAAATGAGACAGGGGAAGTGACATTGCCGGCGGAGGGATCAATTTCGCGAGGTATGGGATGGGCAGGAGAGATTGGCTGTGCATACTGATTCTTGGTTGCTTTCCGTTGCTTTCTATTTTGGTGCTCGGCTTAATCGCAACGAGAGGTACAGTGTTTATTGTTGTCGCTTCATATTACAATCTTTAGGTTATTGAATTTCGGCTGCAGCTGGGTATCTTTGTCTGCTAAAATACAGGTTGTAAAGTCTTAGGGCCGTTTGATAACTTTTTTGTTTTTGTTTTTGCTTTTTTCGTAAAAAACACGAAATAAAAACGTCAAACAAACATGTTAGTGAGTGACTCTTTATGCGAAGTTCCTTAAGGAAAGCTAGTTTTTGTTGCCAATGCCTTTTCTAGGTGGAATAATAGTTAGAATGGTGACATTTTCATTTGCTGCAACATTTTCTGGGCATTGCTATTTTGAATTTATTTGATTATATTTTAAGATAAAGAAACCAGCTATAAGCAACTCTTAATCGTGGATACACTTTGTATAAAGAGTATATGATTCTGTTCCCTTAGCCTTTTGCAGAGAGTACCTTGTTTTCCGAGATTGAAGACTATTGCTGGTTGTTTTTTTTAATAAACGATCTGACATAGTGTGTGTACATTTGATTTAGTTAACAAATACAAAAATGATCAAAAGAAGAGGTGATCTTATAACATAGTGAGGAGAAACATTGAACAATCTGCCAGTAATGCCTTTGAAAGGTATTAGTTTTTGGTAAGAACCTAAAAAAGGGCACAATGCATGCAGCTCCCGCCACTGTAAGATTTGGGAGTGGTTAGATGTATACAGTCATACCCCTACATGCACCTAGTTCATAATAGAGCAACCTTACCACCGGTCCTATTTGACTTGTGTAAGAACCTACACTTTTATATTCACTACACCTACTTTGCTAACTCAGCTCGTTTTTTAAACAAATGAGTTCGAGTCAAACTCAAAACGAGTCGAATCTAAGTNGTGTAAGAACCTACACTTTTATATTCACTACACCTACTTTGCTAACCCAGCTTGTTTTTTAAACGAATGAGTTCGAGTCGAGCTCAAAACGAGTTGAATCTAAATTAAGCCCGAGTAGCTTGGATTTTTTACCACCCCTATTTGTATTTTTGCTTCAGTGAGGTCACAATTTTCAAGATTAAGTTCTTGTGACATCCATTTGATAGAAATGATGCATAATTTTGGCATAATCTCGGATGGGCATAGATAAATTTTGATTTGTTGTTTTTGTTACAGGTTTTTTTGGTTTGACTGAAAACCACATTTTAAATGCATTTTTTGGTCTAGTTTACATTGTAAATATTTNTTTTGGCATAATCTCGGATGGGCATAGATAAATTTTGATTTGTTGTTTTTGTTACATGTTTTTTTTTGTTGACTGAAAACCACATTTTAAATGCATTTTTTGGTCTAGTTTACATTGTAAATATCTATGTAGATGAAACTTAGACGAGTTGGGTCGGTTAATCTTTGTGCAAATCGTCAGCAGTCGAAGTTCAACTCGAACCTTTCAACTAGATTATAGTCCCTATCGTAATTTTAATTCTCGGATTCGATTCAAACAATACACATGTATACTATTAGTTGTTACATAAGTTTTTATAGGTATAAATCGGTTATGTTCTAATTAGGTTTCTGTTGCTCTAATTATGAATGCAGCAGTCCACAATATAGAAGAGGGAACCCTCAAAACAGCCCAAAATTAATTACTCTGGTTAGTTCCAACCAACATTTATTTAATGTGCCTTATATTGTTATTATGATAATATTCTAAGTATAGTAATACATTCCTAATAATCTAAGAAGAATTTATTATGGTAATCTAGTTAATCATTTAGATTTGACCAAATCTACAATAACCCTTATTAATCTTCTTGGAAGATTAGAAAACTTCAATGAATAGTCATTAATTGCCTCATTTTCACCTTATAAATGCTTGCCAAAACACTATTTCATGCGTGCTCTCTCATCTCATTCAAGCTTTAGAAAGATGAAGAATCTCTCTGTTTTTACTATCCTTCTACTTGTGCTTTTCATCACTACAGGCAATCTTGCTTGACCCATTTGTTTGATTCAATGGTCCAAGAGATTTCTAATTCATTCCAAAAGAAATCAAAGAAGTAGATGTGTACAATGTTCCAAAAAAATCTCTGGTAGACAGTTTTACTCCATTTTAGAGGGATTGGTTCCGATTCTCAAACTCACCTTGGTTTTCAATTAAATCACCAGATGCATAACGTAAATTTTTTTTTTCTTCCCGAAATGACTTAAAAATGAATTATGATTTTTGTTTATGTTTAATGGGTGCAAGCAGTGAAGTGATGATGGTGAGGGTAAGCCACATAAGTGTTCACTAAGGATTGAGACAAGTGTTCCATGTTATGACGATGATTTTTGTACATCACTCTGCGAAAATCAGAGTGGACACAACCCAACTGCTGCTGGAGTTTGCGTAAATCCTCATACTTCTTGTTGCGTTTGGACTTGATTCTGAAATTCGAATATTATTCGAATTTAATAAAATGATAAAAGGAAAAGATCCTTAGCCAAAAATCCCATAACCAAATTTGTTTATCTTTTGAAATTTTATTTGAAGGATTGCTATATAATTTTGGTTTTATAAATGCATTCCCAATGCTTGCTTTTCTTTTATTTTATAAAGCAGATCAAAATGAACTATAATATCTATTGTTGGTTTATGGAATCTTGTTCTTTCTGCAATAGTTTTGAATTTGAACACTCAAGGATTACGATGGAGCCATCAAGCACCTTTACTTTTTCTCTCTATCCATGTGAATGTCTTTTGGACCAAATGTAAAACTTGAAAATCACATCATCATGAACACGTGCAATAACCTAGTTTATAACTAATCGATAATGCCAATATTTACTCCAGATATTACTAAGGTCTTATTAAGTACGTGAGTGTGGTAACTTAATTTTGGTTGGTCAATTTATGTCCTGCCTTTTTTTTTTTTTAAGTCAGAATTTTTCCTATAAATTTCGATCCGAATTCATAGGATTCCAAATCCGAGACTTTACCACATTCCATTCCCACCATTGTACCAGCATAGGCTGTCAAAATTTGACACGATTAACCGATACGAATTAAGCGGGTTTGTGTGAGATCTTAATGGGTTTGGGTGATAAACGGATTGACACGTTAAACACGTTTAATAAATAGGTCATGTTCGGGGGAGATCTGTTAAATTGTTTATTATATGTTTATCCGTTTAAATAAAATTAATGTAATAATAAATTAATTATTATTTTTAAAATATTAGCACGAAAAAAGGAGTAAAGAAATCAATAAAAAAAATAAGGACAATAACAGTTCAAAGAGAAAAAAGATAAGATAAGGAGTACTTCAAAGACAAAGGCAAAGTAATGTCTTTTATTTTTGTTCCACATTAGAAAATGTGGGGAGATAGAGAGGGTTGAGTTGCCTATAAAAAATAATGATCTATTATTTTTTTTTTTAAGCCTTCAAGTCTCATTTTTATGAGATTTGGCTAAAAATTCTTCTATTTTGAGGTAAGTGTAATTGACAATAAAAAAAAGTTGAATATTAAAATTTGTTAATATAATATTTTTAAAATTAAACGGGTTAAACGAGTCGTGTTGTGTTATCTGTTTATTAAACGAGTCATGCTCATGTTGAAATTTTTTACTTGTTTATTAAACGTGCTGTTTACGGGTTTATATATTTTTTATCCGTCACCCATTTAACCCGACACGTTTGACACTCAGGAGCATGGGTAAAAAAAACGTTAGAACTGCTTAATCTTCTCTTGGGCTATTTATATGTAGTCGGCCATGTGTTTGGACTATACACTAGCTTGCAAATTTTATTTGAGAAATAAAGTTGTAATATAAATTCATAATCTCCCAGAACTTATGGAAATTTTGAAAACTAACAGCAAATTAGTTTTTCATTTACAAAAGATTAGTTTTACTTGGACAAAATTCACAAATGAACTTGTTGATTAAATTCTTTATTACCGCTAAATTAACTAGTCTTGATAGTAAATGGGACCAATTATCAATCAAATAAAAATAATAAATTTAATCTGAACAACATTATATTTATGCAAAAATGTAATGAAATAAATGGAATAGTGGTATTTTAATGAGCCAACAAAGGTCATGGTAAGTTTTCATGTAATCTAGTCCCATCACAAGAGGTTCCAAATAGACACCTCTCAAACCGAAGATAACCATGGGTCACATGCTGTGGACTTCTATATGGATGTCTAGCATGGGAAGCTCATAATTTAAGAATCGATCTCAAACAATCCTATTTTATAGTAATTTTACCGGAGCGATGTTAGATACCATCACCTTATTTTGCACAAGTTTCTAGTACGTTGCTGGAGAGTTACTCATCGATATCGAATTCATATACTAATTATCAGGTTGTCCACGCACACATAGCAAAAATTTTCGTGTAGATTTTTATAGATTTTGGTACGACTTGCGGTAATCTTTGCTTTGTTCTCTGACTTCATCCAAGCTTAGAAAGATGATGAGGTTCTTTGTTTTCAATACCATTCTGCTGGTGATTTTCGTCACTGTAGGTAATCTCATTTGACCTATTTGTTTGATTAATTGATTGATTCAATGTTGTACATGTTTTTCAACAAAAATAAAAGAGAAATTGTACTGTTAGTTCATTCCACAAGAAATATGAAGTATCTGTGTATTAAGGCTGGGGAAGAGGTAAATGATAATTGTCTAGTGGACTTTACCAAGAGTAGAATCAACTCGAACTCACCAATTCTTAGGGCTAACACAACTTGTTGGTTTAATAGAAAATTGACAAATGTTACCAATTTTGAGTTTAGCAATAGTAGACTTGGATGATAAATGAGGAAATCCGCCAAACTCATTAAATAGTCGACCCAGTACAAACTTGGCTAAATAAACATAACCAAACTTCGCTAAACATGAGTTATACGTAAAATTAACATGATGTGACACAAAAATCGACTGCATATAATTATACTAACCCAACTTAGTTAAACATGAGTTACACAAAAAAATCAACATGATGTGACAAAATTCGACTGCATATAATTAGTTTTAAATGAATCGGATGTAAATTGAACAAATATTGATACAAAATGCCCCACACAGTTTAAAAACAAGAACCACGACCCATTGGCATCCTAGTCAAATGCATATAAAATTATTTTTTCGAACCAAGATGTGATTTTTGTTTATGTTTGATGGGTGGAGGCAGTGAACTGATGATGGTAGATGCATATGGGGGAAGGGATTGATGCAAAGGGAAAAATGTAAGAAAACGTATGATATTGTTGTTCAATGTCTGGATGATCTCTACTGTGTTTCCACCTGCGAAAAATAATATAAACAACATTATACACCAAAAATATTCATTGTGATAATAATATCATATCATCATCAACATGTAGTATCTTCACCCAATAATAAAATACCATAAGGACAAAAATAACCCACATATTCCATTAACTACCACATCCCAGGCCCCATATGATCTAAAAACTACTACCTTTTCTTGTGTAAGGTTCATTAACTCGTATGTTAAAACGATTGTGATCGGTCACACTCGCGCCAATCTCTTGTGAGAGATGGGGTGCTATAATGAGGACAAAATTCAGCAAAGTCATCACCCCCAAACGAACACCTCCTCGCCCATCAAAATCATGCATTGGGGAGACAATCATGGGCAATGATTGGGGAACCAACATTAGCTCTCTCTCTCAAACGTAGTTGCAATAAGCTTATTAGAAACTACAATGGGTAGTTCAAGTGATAATAGAAATTCGTTGTAAATTCAAACGTCGTGAGTTCGATTCTTAGCAATCATTGGCATGGATGACCTGTCTTTAACCGGAGATTAGTCAAAGAGCGTGTAAACGAATACGGTCATCCTGACCATAAAAAAAAAAAGATTATTAGAGCATCTCTTGTTCCTAAGGATTGGGAATAACAGGCTATTATAACGTTCATGGATAGTAAACACAATGCATGCCACAATTCACCCACACAAGCACCCACTGCAAGACNATCCTATTTTATAGTAATTTTACCGGAGCGATGTTAGATACCATCACCTTATTTTGCACAAGTTTCTAGTACGTTGCTGGAGAGTTACTCATCGATATCGAATTCATATACTAATTATCAGGTTGTCCACGNCAAGCACCCACTGCAAGACCAACCCGATTTCATGTTCTCCCTTTTTGCTGTGTATCTATTGGCTTAAGCAATTGGAGGACTTACATAAGAAACACCTTATGCGTGTGTTTAACTCTCATATTATTAAAATAGTTTTGTTTTTGAACTAATCGATACTACACATCGAAACAAAATACTTTCATGTACTACAGCGGCTACAAGCCTGCAACTACAACATGTTTGGTATCCCAGGTATAAGCCAATTGCTTTCTTTGTTTTATTGNTTGATTGATTCAATGTTGTACATGTTTTTCAACAAAAATAAAAGAGAAATTGTACTGTTAGTTCATTCCACAAGAAATATGAAGTATCTGTGTATTAAGGCTGGGGAAGAGGTAAATGATAATTGTCTAGTGGACTTTACCAAGAGTAGAATCAACTCGAACTCACCAATTCTTAGGGCTAACACAACTTGTTGGTTTAATAGAAAATTGACAAATGTTACCAATTTTGAGTTTAGCAATAGTAGACTTGGATGATAAATGAGGAAATCCGCCAAACTCATTAAATAGTCGACCCAGTACAAACTTGGCTAAATAAACATAACCAAACTTCGCTAAACATGAGTTATACGTAAAATTAACATGATGTGACACAAAAATCGACTGCATATAATTATACTAACCCAACTTAGCTAAACATGAGTTACACAAAAAAATCAACATGATGTGACAAAATTCGACTGCATATAATTAGTTTTAAATGAATCGGATGTAAATTGAACAAATATTGATACAAAATGCCCCACACAGTTTAAAAACAAGAACCACGACCCATTGGCATCCTAGTCAAATGCATATAAAATTATTTTTTCGAACCAAGATGTGATTTTTGTTTATGTTTGATGNGAACCACGACCCATTGGCATCCTAGTCAAATGCATATAAAATTATTTTTTCGAACCAAGATGTGATTTTTGTTTATGTTTGATGGGTGGAGGCAGTGAACTGATGATGGTAGATGCATATGGGGGAAGGGATTGATGCAAAGGGAAAAATGTAAGAAAACGTATGATATTGTTGTTCAATGTCTGGATGATCTCTACTGTGTTTCCACCTGCGAAAAATAATATAAACAACATTATACACCAAAAATATTCATTGTGATAATAATATCATATCATCATCAACATGTAGTATCTTCACCCAATAATAAAATACCATAAGGACAAAAATAACCCACATATTCCATTAACTACCACATCCCAGGCCCCATATGATCTAAAAACTACTACCTTTTCTTGTGTAAGGTTCATTAACTCGTATGTTAAAACGATTGTGATCGGTCACACTCGCGCCAATCTCTTGTGAGAGATGGGGTGCTATAATGAGGACAAAATTCAGCAAAGTCATCACCCCCAAANGGTTGTATTATCTTGCATTATTTGAATAAATGATGTTCATCTTTCCAAGTAATTTTGCACAAACCATTGTTGACATTGTTTGTGCATTAACTGAATAGGAAGCGCCTGTTCAGCCTGATAAATGATCTGCCCACCATCTTTGAAGTTGTAACAGAAAGGAAGCCTATAAAGGACAAGCCCAGTGTGGATAGCGGAAGCAAATCTAGGATTAGCACAAAGGTGAACTGGTTAAACTCATACTTGTCTGTTTATTTTTTTCCCTGAACTTTTGCTCTTACCTTGCTTTTAGATTTAAGACCCAGCTCTGCCTTGCAGAGGTCTATTGATGGTCAGGCAAAAACTAACCCAAAGTTATATGATGAGGGTTATGGAGAGGATGATGATGAACACAGTGAAACTATTTGTGGGAGCTGTGGTGGGAATTATGCTGCTGATGAGTTTTGGATTGGGTGTGACATCTGTGAGAGGTGGTTCCATGGAAAGTGTGTGAAAATAACTCCAGCAAAGGCTGAAAATATCAAGCAGTACAAATGCCCTTCATGCAGCACAAAAAAGGGCAAGCAGTAGTGACTAAATTAAAGCTTTTACAAGGCTTAACCTCTTGTTTTACAACAAAATGTTATTCTTCTAGTTTTGGTTCTTTGTACCTTTGAGTGGTTAAAGTTCAGGTTTCTCATCCTTCCCATGCATGTTTCTGTAAAATGTTAGGTCTTTGTTTCATAATTACAATTAATTTCAGAAAATGTTGCTTAGTAGTCATTTTCAGGGGCTTGCATTGTCCCTTTTGAGTTAGCCAGATTATTATTCTGTTTTTAGGGGGGAATCATGTTCTATGATATTGTTGAAGATCACAATTTTACTTATCCTAGCTTCTCTGGTATGGTACATGACTTTCATATACCAATGTTATTGACTGATACTTGACCTTTGGTTAGCATGGTAGACTGAAGACATACACCCTTGACATTGTTTTTTCGATTTTTCTGCTCTTTTGATCGGTGTTTATTCTTGGAATTTATTTGTCTTTTAAATGCACTGATTGGACTGGTTGCCGAATTTTAAACCTTATGGTCGATGTGTGTATGTGAATCTGGGTTGTTTAGCCGCTGAGGACGTCTCTTGTCAACCAGGATCGGGCTCTGGGCCTTCCCCCTCACCCCTTGGGATACTGTTAATGGGTGTGCCACTTAATTTATACTCGACCCGTTTACAATCGTGGATAACTAGGTTTGCGTTGTGTCAAATTTGATCTCTGTAGAAGCAGTGGGGTTCGTGTGAATCTATCTATTTGATCCGTTCGACAAGTCAACTTGTTTACCAAGCAAATTAAATAAGATTGCATTTAACCTGAGTTATGACGGATTATTCATATCATTAATAAGTGAGGGCCTTTAAGTAAGTAGTGTTTGATAAAATTGAAAGTTGAAGTTGAATGTTGAATTTGTGGACTATTGAATATCTACTGAAACTGAAATTTAAGTATTGAATTGAACTAAATTGTTTAATAACTACACTGAGCTATCGTCCGAAAATAAATTAATTTTTAATTTTGCCCTTGTATTCTTTAATTTGAAAATATTTATAAAATATGTCATAAAATAAATCATAATCACTATTATCATATTGTAATCTATATTTAACAAACATCTTATCAAAAAAAAATATATTTGAATAACACAATAACATTTGATTAAAGAAAAAAAAAACAATAGCAAATAAATAATCAAATAACAATAAATGAATAATAACATCTCATCAAAAAAATAAATAATTGAATAATATTAAAAAAATACAATAAATTAGATTTCATTAACAATATGCGTGTATGTCATGAAGGTGAGTGTGTGCGTGTGCAATTCGTGTGGGTAAGTGGGTGGGTGCGTGTGCAGGGAGGTGTAAAATATTAATAGAATTGTAAAATATTTTGAGGCATAATTGTCGTATTATAAATATTATTAAAGAGATTTTATCGAGTGTTTTCAGCTTTCAGAATTAAGGGATCTTTTACTTAATATTGTAGCCTATTTATAAGGAGTACTTAACATATTAAAAGAGTTTAAATTTTAGTTATTAAATGGACTTAATTAATAAGTGTCGAAAATATTCATTTTAAGTGCTGAATTTGAGTTAACAAACACACTCTTACTTATATACAATAAATTTGACTTGAATGTATGATAAATCTATAATATAAAATAGAGTAGATTTCAATAAATTCATTCAATAGTCTTAAATAGACTTATCCAACAGCTAATAACATTCCTTTTAAAATTATTCATACTGTATTATGTATTCAAGTACGAATTATTCTCAGTGATATGTCAAAAAGAGAATTAGCAAGAAAATGTTTTAAAATAGGATAAATTATAAGGGGTACACTAAATTAGACTTATTTGGCAAAAAATACACACTAAAAAATGTAGGATTATGAAGTACTTAATTTTGATACTTATTTGTATTCAAGTACATAATTTGAATTTATCTATTTTTATTGTGACATTTTTACCCTCCATTAATCTATGTGTATTTAATGCACCACTTTTTTTTGGAAAGTAGTGCATTAAACATCTCATAGTTTTATGGGAGTATATATATATGCATACTAATGTATGTATGTGTGTGTGTGTATGTATATACTTGTTGTTAAATCTCTTATTTAAATTTTGAATTATCTTTTAATGCACCTTAATTTGTGCAATTTTTTTTTAGAAAGTGGTTTTATTTTCGAATTAATTTAATATCCCAATAGTATAATAGTGTAACAATAACAGTGTAATAATAAAAGTGTAACAATGTAACAATAAAAGTGTAACACTAACAATGTAACATTATAACAAACTATTTACATAAAATATTGTACTATTACATTTTAGCAAACATATAGTTTCATATAATTTTATTGAAAGTAGTCCATCTCCGTTTTGAATTTGTTACCATATACACAAAACTACTAAACACTGTTTTTGTTACAGTACTGTCTTTGTTACAGTGTATTTGTTACACTGTTATTATTATAATATTACATTATTCGGATATTAAATTAATTTGAAAATAAAACTATTTTTCAAAAAAAAAAACGCCTGAATTAAGGTGCATTAAATATAATTTGAAAATAAAATCACTTTTCAAAAAAAAAATATGCATAAATTAAGGTGCATTAAAGATAATTCAAAATTTAAATAAGAGATTACAACAAATATATATATATATATATATGTGTGTGTGTGTGTGTGTGTGTGAGTGTGTGTGTGTGTGTGTATATATATACACACACATGTATTAACAAATACACATGAATCGAGGTGCATTAAATACGTATTTATATGTATTAACAAACACACATGAATTAAGGTGTATTAAAAATAAGAGATTATAAATTAAATGACTCTAAAATGGACATTTATATCTTTTTAACTTATATTTTATTTTGTGTATTTTTTATCAAATAAGTCTAATAAGGTGCAACGATATCCCTAGAACCCTCTAAAATATAACTCAGACAAAAAGGTGGGCGCCCGTGGAGAAGGAAATTCTGTTGTGTGTGTGTGCTATCGTGCTTTTGTATCCTCCAATCTCAGGCCCATTGGCCCTGCCGCCCCCTTCCTCATTATCCATTTCAGGTTTTCAACGGATAAAACTCTTTATATTCCACCGCTTGTCTGCCTCCTCCTTCTTAATTTACTTATTTTTTGTAATTTTTCTTCCAGTAAATATCCATCGATCATCAGCACTACCCTATTCTTGATATATGTGGACGAATATTACGTATTGGGCTTAGGAGTTGTCTACGGCACTGAAATTTTTTTCGATATCGTACTGATATTTATTATTTTTGTAAATATTTTTACTATTATTATAAATATTTTTATCATTGTTGTGACACTAAAAAGGTGGTAAAAACACCCATAAAAATAATATTTTTTTTGTATTGAAAAAAATGATAAAAATAGTTATCATAATAGTGATAAAAATACGTACAAAAATGGTAAATCTCCCACAAAATTGATACTTTTTTCTTTAAAAATATCTACAAACATTATAAAAATACCCACAAAAATAATAAATTTGAGAGGTACATTACCGAATTTTTTCATTTTGTACCATAGTCAAGTGTTGGGCTTATGATCTTTATTTTTCCGCAAGAAATTATTTTTAGTTAATGTTTCTTTTCTTTTGATGCATTAAGGTTTTTCGTTATGAATACAATAAGGTTTTTCGTAATTTTTTTTATTTCCATTTATTTCGTTTTTGGTCAAGGAAAAGTAAGACATTATGGGACTTGAAACCACAATTATATCATCGTTAGCAATAGACTTTTTGGTCAGTGTAGCACTAATCTATAATCTATATTTATAAATATAAAACATTACATGTTTCAATAAGTTTATCCAATGGTTTCAAATAAACACATTCAGCGATCTCTAACATTTCTCTCAAAATTATTCACCATACCTCCAAATATGAGTTACCCCCAGTATTGATACGAATTGCGCATACGGTTCAATGGTAATTTAACTTACCTTTGAAAGAGTCTACTTGCATATATGATTTTTCCTTTTTTTTTTTTTTAAAATTTTTGGGCAGCTAGAAAACGTGGCATTAGAGTATTTAAGCAAGAGAAAGGAAAATGAAATTCGAGTTAATGGAGGTTTAAAAAAAAAAACTCTCTAATAGACCCTTTGGACTAAGACAATTGGTTAAGTGTTGAAAATAAATTTTTTTTAAAAAAAAGAAGAGGATTAGGGGTTCAAAATTCATAATTAGTAAAAAAAAAAAGGGATTTTGTTTTTCAAGTACCCGATATAATAGCAAAACTAATTGGACAAATTTATCCCATATGATTAAGACACGACCAAGATAAGATGATTGGATTTCAAATTGGTTGCGCTCCGGATAAATGCGTATTGCCTTTAGAATTTAATTTGATAGTCTTAATTGGAGGCTATCGTGGACATATTTTAGATCACTAATTGCCACTAATCTTATACACTAAATAGTGTTCGAGACTTGATACGGAGTATTAGAACATTTGTTGGGGGGCGGCAGATAAAAAAAAGAAAGTGGAAGTTGAGGGAAAGTCTACGGTACTATTAAAAAAATAATAATAATATGATATCGAAAGTTATTATTTTTTAATAATAAAAAATTATAATTAGTTAAGAAAAGTTTATGATCAATTCTCTTGAATAATTATAACTTTCGCTTTATCAATTGTAACTTAACTTTTAAAAATTGTAATTTTTATGATCGATCATCATGTTTTAAGATCGATTATATACCGATGACATTATTTTAATCTTTTCTTAAAGTTGTAATGGATTGAAGATTAAAAGCTCAATGATTAAAAACAATACCATAGAGTATAATTGATTTGAATGATTACATTAATGCATTGTACCTTTGCAATGTTTGTGGGTGCACAAATTTAGAGTCATAATTGCAAGCACTAAAATATTTGCTATTTTTTTAAGCAATTGGAGTTTTATTAGGAAGATAAGTCCGAAAGAAGGTATGACTGTGGTGTCGTCTTTTTCTAAATATTAATATTTTCACAAAATTTAGTTTTTCGATGAGCTATACAATTTTTTGAACACTTAACACTAAAGAATGAATAAAAAATAAACGATCGAAAAATTCATTGAACATTTTTACAATAATGCCCAAAAAAGTAAAATCCTTAGAATCATCACCGAACATCTTCATCACCGTTGTTGGAACACCTTCAAGAACAATTTCATCACTCCAAATTTGCCTAGAAAACAACACAGCTTTCCTCGTAGTCATAGTCTCTACAGTTTGTGTTTCAGCCAAAAATCTTCTTCGACATCCCCGCAATAAACATACCAGCTTCATTTCTTAAAACCACACCCATTCCAATTCTTGCTATTTGTGAGTAGGGTTGGCGTATTATATTATAACACTATCTATTCCGACATGAAATTGTTTAGTTTTAACACAGTTTGGATTATAGAGAGTTTGGATTATTAAGGGTTTGCATGAATTTACACTAAACAATACAGACTATAGACAATAAAAACATAACTAAATATGACGCGGATCTAATCATACACGACTCTTATAAATGATTTGGTCTAAAGACTTAAACAAACCAAATCAATGAAAAAAATAGAATTTTCAACAAGATTTAAAGCAGCGACAAGCGATCTTGTTTTTTTAATAGGATTTCTTATTACTCATTGCAACATTTTCAGTTCTGATATCTCCGGTTGTGTTGTCAACAAAAAAAAAACCTCAATTCAGAATTACAAGGGTTCGGACAAATGAGAGATGGTTGGCATCTTCTCTGAGAGGGATGGGAACAGTTTTCAGGCTTACCTGTTCCCAAACACATCCGGTTAAGGCTACCCACCTCGATCGTCTTCTAACCCAATTTTTTTATTAAAAAAAACCCAAAAAAAAATGCAGATATATTGATTGATTAAGTCAATGGAGCATCGTAGTTTTGACAAGGTGTTTAGTTTATAAACAGTGACACATGATCACATGTCATCACATTCATTCTTAAACGTATTATTACCAATCAACCATACATCATCAACCGCTAATTACTCTATACATTTCGTCATATTCAATATGATATACACTGACGACGATATCAAGCAGCCATTCAAAGGTCTGAGATTCAAACCAACTTTAGATGCACAACCGCAATCTATGCCCTTTCCCATTGAATAACCATGAAGAAATTAAATGTAATATATTTGGATGGGGTCCTTTTTTAATTTAGCTAAAATTATTAGCCATTTGAATTTAATATTTGGACTTGATTATTGTGTCGACAAAAAAAAAATATAAGTACAGTACTTCTAAAATTTATTATTTTCATGGATGTTTTTATAATTTTTATGGATTATTTAATAATCAAAAAATTTATCACATTTGTGGGTATTTTTAGTACTGTTAGAGATATTTTTACCACTATTGTGGTAATTATTTGTGTCACTTTTCTTTGATACAAAAATAATTATTATTTTTGCAGGTGATTTGTTATATTTGTAGGTGTTTTTACCACTGTTACGGTAACTATTTTTATCACTTTTGTTCGGTACAATAATAATAAACTTTTTTGTGGGTGTTTTTACTATTGTTGTTGTAATTATTTTTATTATTTTTTTATAGCACTACTGCGATTAAAATACCCATAATAATAATAAAAATAACTATAAATATGATAAACGAAGATATGATACTGAATTTTTTCTTTTCGAACCATAGACAAGTCTTTGATATCTAGAAGGAATCAACAACAATCATACAATAACTAACATGTGTTTTTAATTTTTGAATAAAATACCTCATGAAGGAGAGGACTTGCCGTTAGAATCTCTTGACTTTTGAACATGATTGAGGCATAAATAGGGAAAGAAAGGAAAAAAAGTGTACGTTTNCGAAAGAAGGTATGACTGTGGTGTCGTCTTTTTCTAAATATTAATATTTTCACAAAATTTAGTTTTTCGATGAGCTATACAATTTTTTGAACACTTAACACTAAAGAATGAATAAAAAATAAACGATCGAAAAATTCATTGAACATTTTTACAATAATGCCCAAAAAAGTAAAATCCTTAGAATCATCACCGAACATCTTCATCACCGTTGTTGGAACACCTTCAAGAACAATTTCATCACTCCAAATTTGCCTAGAAAACAACACAGCTTTCCTCGTAGTCATAGTCTCTACAGTTTGTGTTTCAGCCAAAAATCTTCTTCGACATCCCCGCAATAAACATACCAGCTTCATTTCTTAAAACCACACCCATTCCAATTCTTGCTATTTGTGAGTAGGGTTGGCGTATTATATTATAACACTATCTATTCCGACATGAAATTGTTTAGTTTTAACACAGTTTGGATTATAGAGAGTTTGGATTATTAAGGGTTTGCATGAATTTACACTAAACAATACAGACTATAGACAATAAAAACATAACTAAATATGACGCGGATCTAATCATACACGACTCTTATAAATGATTTGGTCTAAAGACTTAAACAAACCAAATCAATGAAAAAAATAGAATTTTCAACAAGATTTAAAGCAGCGACAAGCGATCTTGTTTTTTTAATAGGATTTCTTATTACTCATTGCAACATTTTCAGTTCTGATATCTCCGGTTGTGTTGTCAACAAAAAAAAAACCTCAATTCAGAATTACAAGGGTTCGGACAAATGAGAGATGGTTGGCATCTTCTCTGAGAGGGATGGGAACAGTTTTCAGGCTTACCTGTTCCCAAACACATCCGGTTAAGGCTACCCACCTCGATCGTCTTCTAACCCAATTTTTTTATTAAAAAAAACCCAAAAAAAAATGCAGATATATTGATTGATTAAGTCAATGGAGCATCATAGTTTTGACAAGGTGTTTAGTTTATAAACAGTGACACATGATCACATGTCATCACATTCATTCTTAAAAGTATTATTACCAATCAACCATACATCATCAACCGCTAATTACTCTATACATTTCGTCATATTCAATATGATATACACTGACGACGATATTAAGCAGCCATTCAAAGGTCTGAGATTCAAACCAACTTTAGATGCACAACCGCAATCTATGCCCTTTCCCATTGAATAACCATTAAGAAATTAATTGCCCTTTTTTAATTTAGCTAAAATTATTAGCCATTTGAATTTAATATTTGGACTTGATTATTGTGTCGACAAAAAAAAAATATAAGTACAGTACTTCTAAAATTTATTATTTTCATGGATGTTTTTATAATTTTTATGGATTATTTAATAATCAAAAAATTTATCACATTTGTGGATATTTTTAGTACTGTTAGAGATATTTTTACCACTATTGTGGTAATTATTTGTGTCACTTTTCTTTGGTACAAAAATAATTATTATTTTTGTAGGTGATTTGTTATATTTGTAGGTGTTTTTACCATTGTTATGGTAACTATTTTTATCACTTTTGTTCGGTACAATAATAATAAACTTTTTTGTGGGTGTTTTTACTATTGTTGTTGTAATTATTTTTATTTTTTTTTATAGCACCACTGTGATAAAAATACCCATAATAATAATAAAAATAACTATAAATATGATAAACGAAGATATGATACTGAATTTTTTCTTTTCGAACCATAGACAAGTCTTTGATATCTAGAAGGAATCAACAACAATCATACAATAACTAACATGTGTTTTTAATTTTTGAATAAAATACCTCATGAAGGAGAGGACTTGCCGTTAGAATCTCTTGACTTTTGAACATGATTGAGGCATAAATAGGGAAAGAAAGGAAAAAAAGTGTACGTTTCTACTTGAGCACGGCTTTATTGAATTCTCATAGAAACACAACCACCACGTAGAAGACATTAATAGAATTTCTAAAAGTAGGTGCTTAATTAACAAATGGCCATGGAAACAGTCAGCTACCAAAGCATTATTATTTAAGAGTTCGGGTTTAGAGTGATAACAATTGTTTATCTGGTCAAACTTTAGCTGTAGATGGAAATTTGTTTATGCGACATAAACTTAATTTGAAAGACTAATCAGAGACGTAATTCATTACGGTCATTAAAATAATTTGTAAGTTTCAAGATTTGATGAAACTCACTTCCGGTCAAAGAGCGGTAATTGATTGAGTATTCAGATTAGATTCCTAAATTATGTCTAAGTAGTGTTTTTCTTTGTTCATGTCTCTTCAAAATGAGGATATAAACGAACATCTTATGCACTAATACCACAAATCCACCAATGGTTTTTCGAGACCATGTTTTTTATGTGTGGTTATACAAGCAAATGTCCATATCCACTTTATTTGTATCTAAAGCCAAAATCATTTTATTGAGATTCGATGTGTAATTTGAAGGGATGGTGGGGTCATCGATTCAAATCTCGCTACTATCAATTAAAAATACGTGTCCAAAATAAAGCAAATATATCTGCTTTTTGTTAATTAAGGATTATAATTTTGTCTTAGTCAATGACAGTTTGGATCAACCAATGTTTCTAATTAGGCTAATGTCATGTCTAATGGCCCATATTTCACAAAGTTTTTCATTAGCTAATTGTTCCCTTAATTGAGGTTGTCTAGTGGGACATAGTTACATCGTCTTCACATGCAAGTAGAATATAAATGGGACAACAACCATTTTCAAGAAATTAATAACTTCAATAACCTTTTTTTTCCTTTTTTCTCTTTGTAAACCCTTCATGATTTTTTTTTTTTTTTTTTTTTGGTAACCCAACCTGTGCGTAATTATGAGAGGCTTTTCGACTGTTGAGTATCTAATTTGAACCATAATTATTAACCCTGAAGGGTGACCTTCAGCACAACACTACAAAAGACAAGAAACAAATCGTGTTGCTTCTATGAATCGAATCCCTCGATGATTATTAGATTTAAAGTAAATCCAATGACCATTAAGGAGACAAATTACAATGATGTACATAAAAGGAACTAGTACTACTCCATATCACAAAAATCAAGGAGATTTTAGAGATTCAACTTGGGATTTTCCCTGAGGACCCTTCATCCTTATGTAGAGTCTGTATTGATCAAATGTCATGGAAGGGTACAAGGCTGGTTTTTCCGGCGTCACGAGCTCCTTGGATGGTTGTATCCTCAAATCACTCTTAGGGTTGTAGAAGAAAGCAAGAGAAACGCGTTCCTGGTCGGAATTAACGATCACTCGGTGCTCGACGCTCTTGTAAATAGCATTGGTTAGAACCTGAATGATCAGTGAAATTAACTTTAGTACATAACCAAAACTCAAGGATTTATGACACCAACAAAAAAAAAAATTGCATTGCTCAACCTTAACTTTGAGAAAAAATTAGGTTATTTGATCAGAAACATAGTATGCTAGATTTTCTGTCATCTTTTGGGTGTATATTAAGCTATTTTGTAATATTTTTTGTTTTTGGAATGAAATTTCTTTTCTTACGTCAAAATTAATGCAGGAAATAAGACAACTTGAATGAGAACAATTTGGTTAGTTGAGATGACTATTCAAAAGTGAGAAAGAGGAAATAATGATATTGATTAGGAGTTAGAATGTAACAACTTAATGGCCTAGGCAAATATTCAAAGTTCTTTTTATGATTCAACAGTCAAGAGTATCCAAGATAATTTACGCATACCATGACTAATCTCCTCCAAGTTCAAACTATATGAAGTTGATTCATGTGTGTAGTGGGGGTATTTATAGCAATTAAACACGAGTTATTTCTATTAGTGGAAAGGTTATCATATACTCTCTCTCTCTAAATGGATTTTCTTCTTGTTGGGATGGAAAAGGGGGGGGGGGGGGTTTCAAGTTTCCCATGTCAATGCAAATTGCAAATGAAAATGCTACATCACTCAAATAAAGTCCAAAAAATTGTAACTCAAATGCATATCATTCTTTAGATGAGTATGGGATGAGTGAGTCTCATTGAAAAAATTAATGAGACTCATTCATCTAAGAGAAATATACATTTAAGTTGCAACTGTTTGAATTTTGTAACATTAATCAATTGCAAATCTTTCTAAGTTAAAGATTTGTCTGGATCAATGTTCCAAAAATAAATGCAGAAGGCAAGCTGGCACAGGATGCCAAAATTTAATTAAATGCATATATATATAGTTGATACTTAAGATATACATAGGTGCCAAAAAGGACTTCACAGACACATGCAGGAGACCTTCCTCTTATGGCTTAAAAGTTAAAAACACTCATGTTTTTAAGAAAAAAGTTTCAGGACAGGTTACAGGCCAATCAAAACATGACCCCTCCATGTGCCTTTGTTTCATCAATTCNGAAGGACTTCACAGACACATGCAGGAGACCTTCCTCTTATGGCTTAAAAGTTAAAAACACTCATGTTTTTAAGATAAAAGTTTCAGGACAGGTTACAGGCCAATCAAAACATGACCCCTCCATGTGCCTTTGTTTCATCAATTCTAGCCAACCATTTCTTATTTTATGGATAACCTAAACTGGTGGTTCAATCTTCTTCTGGGTTTGGGAAGGATCAGATCAAGATCCTTGACCAAGATCAAAGCATAGAATAGAGGCTGCACCTGGATTTGGTCGCCAATATTGACGATGAAAGCATGAGAAGCCGGTTTCACGGTGATCCAGTCCTCGTCTTTACGGACCTGAAGCCCCGATACGTGCTCGTCCGGGAGGAGGAGAGTCAAGCCGCCGGGGTCGGAGTGAGAGGATAGACCAAGGGTCAGATCTGGTTGTGGACACTTTGGATAGAAATTCACTCTTAGACAGGCTCCAATATCGTCCCCTCCAAAAGCACTTTGCAGATAGTCCTTTTCCAATCCAACGTTGATTGATAAAGCCTCCATTAAAGTACCACATAACTCCACCACTTGTTTAGAGTATTCATCAATCACTTCCCTACAGTTAAACATTGTATCTACCAAAATGATATAGTAGTTGACTTCAAAAAATACAAGATATATAATTATATATGTTAATATGAATAATCACTGTATTCCGAATACATGGTTTTCGTATTTCCGTACGAAACCTTAACCTTCATACAACAATATGTAATTGTTTTATAATATTCATATCAAAGTATCAACCAATATAGATATAGTTTGTATAAGTAAAATACTCGATACCTTCTAAGTCAATTTACGACATGTGTAAACCACTACCCTTACTCGATTCATCCGAGAAATATGAACAACACTGAAAAATTGAATGATACAGTTCTATGACACCACAATATGGCATGAATCTATCCACATATTCAACTTCTTCTTCTATATAGGATTTAATGCCTCGTTTTCAAAACTGCTTTGCAACGTTTTGACCGATGTGTCTAAAAGTCTAAATATCAATAGTCAATNCTATATAGGATTGAATGCCTCGTTTTCAAACTGCTTTGCAACGTTTTGACCGATGTGTCTAAATGTCTAAATATCAATAGTCAATACTGTAACTTTGAACCATAATAATCCTAAATTGTTGTTGGAGAAATTCTTGCACAATACTGATTCGCCATGCAGATAATTAGCAGTGTATTCTTAGTTCCTCGCGTCTCTCGGGTTGTGAGACCAGTTTTACTCTCTAAGCTATATTTTAATGAGCTCATGCGTATTGAGCTTCGTTGTAATATCCTTTTAAACTTTTTTTGGAAAGAAAATCTATATAACAAATCTAAAAAAGATAGTTGAATGATAAAACAAAATACCTGAGAGAAGCTGGATGTGCAGGCCACTTCTTGTGATCTTTCAAACACCCAGGAAGGTAATGAAGATAGTAGTAGTCACTCCAATCAAGAATGGCACCACTTTTGATACCCAATCTGCTACCATACCCTTCATAAGTCTTAGGAGAATTAGCATAAGCTTGTTTCACCTCCATGGGCTGATGAAAAAATTGGCGCCAAACTTTTCGGGCACAGTCCATGAGCTCAGGCCTCACCCCATGGTTCACAACCTGGAAGAAACCCCATTCTCGGCACGCGTCGGAGATTTGGCTCAGAGTAGTTGCTCGGAGAGTCGAGTCGTCGGCGAATAGGCCTCCAAGATCAATCAAAGGGATGTTCATCTTGTTTGGGCTGTTGTTGGAGTTTTTCAATGGCCTCTGGGTTGGTGGCTTGATATATCGGTCGGGGATTGATTTCAAGCCACTGTTTGATAAGGATTGGACACGGACTATTGGTTCCGGCCAATCTTGTGTGCAGTTCATGGCTAGGTTGATCCTAGAGAGGGAGAGGGAGAGAGAGAGAGAGAGTTGTGGCTTTGGAGAGTTGGGAGGTGTAATTAAAGAAGATGGAGGAGAGGGGTCAATATTTAATGTGAGAACTTTCCAATGCACCAAATATATATGTAGTGTGACGGTGATACCACGTCATATACCCACGTGGATTTATTATCCAATTAAAAACTATCAATCGGAGTAANCACCAAATATATATGTAATGTGACTGTGAAGCCACGTCATATACCCACGTGGATTTATTATCCAATTAAAAACTATCAATCGGAGTAAGTTAAAGTCCACTTCATTCATTTGTTAATTTTTTAATAGTCGATGATGTTTATAATATAGTACCGTCGTTACATTAAATATTTTTTCGGTCCAATGGATTTTTTTGATAAGGTGGGGGTGGTTTAGGGCGGAGAAAATATTAAATGCAATGGTGACACGACGACATTGTTGTCACATGATGTCACTCTAATAATAATTCAACACGTAACCAAGTAGATTCCATTTACCCTATCTATATAAGAAAATAATAATTGTTCTAAGTATAAATTTATTATTAAATAACAACAACAAGGGAAGGGAAAAACCGTGGGGGTACAGAGAGAGAAGGTGTTTGGTTGGACTAAACTGGTAGAGAAGAGGTGTTTGTGGTGCTGTTTTGTTATATTGAAATGGTGGTGGAAGAGAACGTGAAATAAATGTGGGAAATAGAAAGTGGAGTGCGGTGAGGACCGGGTACATACATGCATGTGAGTGTGAGGTCAAGTCGTGACAGGGCCGACAAACAAAAATACATGTGCTTTGTTAAAGTCAAGCCATATAAATCTCTTACCATTATTAATACATTATTCTTACTATTTATATATATATATATATAGAGAGAGAGAGAGAGAGAGAGAGAGAGAGATGTTGCTATTCTTAATTTAAAATTAAACCTTAATTTACTAATTTAAAGATGCTTCAAATAATATGATCTCAATAAATTTTTTTAAGAATTAATAGATAGAATAATACTATTTTATATGTCTAATGTCATGTCACTCAATCAACAAATTCGGTTAAAATGTTTTTTCAATAAAACAATAATAAACTCTAATGATAGTTCAAATGGTAATAAAAATAAATTATAAATTTAAACGTCTTGATTTTGAATCTTGACAACCCCTTAAGCTAAGTTATATACTCTAGTTTCGGCATGGATCGTCTATCTTTGATTGGATCCAGAAAAAGATTAGTCGAAGTGCACATAAACTGGTACATACATCTTAATTGTTGNATAGTTCAAATGGTAATAAGAATAAATTATAAATTTAAACGTCTTGATTTTGAATCTTGACAACCCCTTAAGTTAAGTTATATACTCTAGTTTCGGCATGGATCGTCTATCTTTGATTGGATCCAGAAAAAGATTAGTCGAAGTGCACATAAACTGGTACATACATCTTAATTGTTGAACCGAAAAAAAAATAAGAGAAATTTGGAGGTCGGTCCTCCTTTGTGGACTTATTTGGTGATAAGTTCATCAAGGAAACTTATATAATCTTAAGTCCATTTTAATTTTCATTGTTCAAAATATCTCTAATAGTTATGTTTAATTCAAACAAATTTAAAAATCAACAACTCTTAAATTTTAAAAGTATGACTAACATTAAAATTTTATCTTTGTCAATATCTATCTAAATCCATATATAGAATAGGACTATTTATTTATCTATCTATCTCTATATATACACACATACACATATAGTAATATTAGAAAAAATAGTAATATTCAAACACAAAAAAATATAGTACAATTTAAACACAAAAAATAGTAACATTTAAATACAAAAAATTTGAATATTCAAAAAAAAAATAATAATAACAACATTGAGTATTAATATTTAAAAAAATAACAGTAGTAACATGTTCAACAAAAATAGTAACATAAACAGTAACATACTCAATAACAGCAGTAACATGCTCACAAAAATAGTACCATGAGCAATAAAATANTAATTTAAACACAAAAAATAGTAACATTTAAATACAAAAAATTTGAATATTCAAAAACAAAAAAAAAATAACAACATTGAGTATTAATATTTAAAAAAATAACAGTAGTAATATGCTCAACAAAAATGGTAACATAAACAGTAACATACTCAATAACAGCAGTAACATGCTCACAAAAATAGTACCATGAGCAATAAAATAGAACATTCAAAAACAAAAAATAGTAACATTCAAAATCGAAAATAATAACATTTAAAAATAAATAAATATTAAGGGATAATATTGGTATAAGTTATTCTTTAAATTTGAATTTCAAATTTATGTAAATAAATTTATTGACATATCTTCATTGATAGTGAATTAAAGAATAATAATTCTCAAGTTAGGAATCTAATTTAAAGTTACTTTCNCAATAACATTTAAAAAAAATAAATATTAAGGGATAATATTGGTATAAGCTATTCTTTAAATTTGAATTTCAAATTTATGTAAATAAATTTATTGACATATCTTCATTGATAGTGAATTAAAGAATAATAATTCTCAAGTTAGGAATCTAATTTAAAGTTACTTTCAAGGATGGGTATTTTAGAGTTTTAAAAAAATAGTGGACTTAACTATTTATTTTTATCCCAAATAAGTTTTTTTTATGGACTAAATTCATTATAAGTCCCTTAAAAAAGATTTAATCCCAATTTTCACAAAAAAATAAAACAAGAATAATGTAACATGAACTTAAAAAATAGACTTCATAATCACAATCATTGAATAACTAATGAATTTCAATGAATAATAAGACTCACAATGAAATCAATAATTATAATTATCAAATATACTACTTTTAAATACATATACCATTACTAATAAAACAAAATAGATTACTCTATATCTGTTAAGCTTTGGATNAAATAATAAGACTCACAATGAAATCAATAATTATAATTATCAAATATACTACTTTTAAATTCATATACCATTACTAATAAAACAAAATAGATTACTCTATATCTGTTAAGCTTTGGATTCAGGGGCGTAGCCACTTTATGCCAAGGGGGACACATGCCCACCCTAAAAAAAAAAAATTTAAAATTATTTATATATATTTTACGTATTTGTTTAATATATTAAATTGTGCTTACCTTATTTTTTAGTCAAAACCAAAAAAAGTATGATATAACCCGTGAGTTTACTTATAATTTTAAATTTTATTTTAGTAATTATCACCGATGTGATAGAAAATATATTTTTTGTTATGTAATCGAATGAATAATAAATAGTTAATCAATAATATAATTGTGGATATATATAATAGCAAAGTTAATACAAGACTTTCAATGTATAAAAATTTATCGAAATTAATTCTAAANTTCACCGATGTGATAGAAAATATATTTTTTGTTATGTAATCGAATGAATAATAAATAGCTAATCAATAATATAATTGTGGATATATATAATAGCAAAGTTAATACAAGACTTTCAATGTATAAAAATTTATCGAAATCAATTCTAAATAGTTTTGATTAGCCTTTATTGAGTAAAAAGATATAATTATCCTTCTTTTTTTTTTTAGTCATTTGTATTTACTATGCTTAGCAATTTTAGTCTTTTAAGTTTAATAAATTTCTAAAATTTAAATAGAATAATATTAAATATANAATGTATAAAAATTTATCGAAATTAATTCTAAATAGTTTTGATTAGCCTTTATTGAGTAAAAAGATATAATTATCCTTCTTTTTTTTTTAGTCATTTGTATTTACTATGCTTAACAATTTTAGTCTTTTAAGTTTAATAAATTTCTAAAATTTAAATAGAATATTATTAAATATAAATGTATTATTCTATTTTTATTAATTATAAGAAAAAAATTACGCTTGTTAAAATATATAGTACTTACCCTGAAATAATTTTTTGACTCCGCCCCTACGTGGATTGTGTGTACTTATATTTTAATCTCATTCTTACATATCCCACTAGGGTACGACTCCTTTGCTACATAGTAGAGTTATTATTTCTCAAAACGATATTATTTTACATATAAATTGACGTCATTTTAAAAATATCATCTCTACTATATAGCAGAGTAGTCGGACCTGGTCACCGTCGCTCCAATCCGTTTTAAAAAGAAAACATGAGTTGAGAAGTCTAGAAGGTGATGAAGTGATTGTATTAAAATGAAAAAGTCTTTGATTGTAAGAAGGTGTAATGAAAATTTAAATAATTAGATATTTTCGATGCATATGATTTATTTTATTTGTATGGATAAAGATCCCTTCTAATACACGTTTCCTTTCAAAAAAATCATCTATCATGTATTAGCGAAGGGTCATTTATAGAAAATGAATTTCACTTTAATTAATGCGGTCTGCGATTTTTCAAGAGAAATAATTTTTTTTGTAAAATGTACATTAGAGTGAATTTAACTACTATAAAAAGATATATATATATAGATAANTAGTCATTTGTATTTACTATGCTTAGCAATTTTAGTCTTTTAAGTTTAATAAATTTCTAAAATTTAAATAGAATAATATTAAATATAAATGTATTATTCTATTTTTATTAATTATAAGAAAAAATTACGCTTGTTAAAATATATAGTGCTTACCCTGAAATAATTTTTTGACTCCGCCCCTACGTGGATTGTGTGTACTTATATTTTCATCTCATTCTTACATATCCCACTAGGGGTACGACTCCTTTGCTACATAGTAGAGTTATTATTTCTCAAAACGATATTATTTTACATATATATTGACGTCATTTTAAAAATATCATCTCTACTATACAGCAGAGTAGTCGGACCAGGTCACCGTCGCTCCAATCCGTTTTAAAAAGAAAACATGAGTTGAGAAGTCTAGAAGTTGATGAAGTGATTGTATTAAAATGAAAAAGTCTTTGATTGTAAGAAGGTGTAATGAAAATTTAAATAATTACATATTTTCGATGCATATGATTTATTTTATTTGTATGGATCAAGATCCCTTCTAATACACGTTTCCTTTCAAAAAAAATCATC